TAGAATTCCTTTGTGGTTCAGGGTGTGTCTGTGTGTTTTGTGTATGTTTCAATAACAAATTGTGTGTGTGTATGTCAAGAAAAGAATATATGAGAAAATCTGTGAACTTATCAATCACACCACAAACATTTTTCTGTAGGATATGAATACGCCTATAGTTTAAATGAATGTGACCTTTAAACCTCTTTTATTATGGTATGGCTTCACTATAGAATAGCAGAACCTGACAGCCTTAATGCTGATGACAACCTAATCTGATTTTTAGCCTATATTCACGCCTAAGCAGAGGGTATTCCTGGTATTTTTAAAGCGTATTACAAGCTTTCTGCAAGCATTTTGCTTGTGTATCAAACTTTAGAAGGTTGTTTTCTGAGCTTTGGCAGGGGAAGAGTTCATTGGGCAGAAAAACATAAATGCATAAAAAACAAGCATGTAGTGCATTTTTAGAGGCGCTCCAACTGAAGTCTACTGTATGTGGCCAAAAATGATTGATTATGCTAAAAATAAAATTGCTCATGTACTTCTTAGAGCATAGAGTGAGCAAGCAGCTGAGTGTTGAAATATGAACAGACGCAATTAAATGTTGAGCGTAGGCAGGTGTAGAGAAACATACTACAAAATGCTCAGATGTGTATGGGGGTCTTAAGGGTAACCATACCTTTAAAACCCATTAGATGTTTAACCTCCTCCCGCCCGCCATATAAGGAAATGATGGGAGCGCGGCGGTTCTCTTGTTCTGGGAGGACGTCATATGAAGTCCTCCCACTCTAACCGAACGTTTGCAGCGATTGGTAGTACGCTGTGTCCCTGGGATGCAGCAGATCACCGATCAGCGGAAAGAGCCGATGACTTCTGCTCTGTCATGTGATCAGCTGTGTCCAATCACAGCTGATTGCATGTAAATAAGAAAATGCCGGTTATCCGCATTCCTCTCCTCACGAGCTGTCACGCTGACAGCTCGTGAGGAGAGGAGAGCCGGTAATCGGCATTCATCAGAGGGGACATCTACATTGATCATCAGGACACTGATGATCAGTGCCCTGATGATCACTGTAGCCCCCTGTCCACCTGTGTGCCCATCAGTGCACATCTGAGCTGCCTTTCAGTGCCAGCTATCAGTGCCAGTCAGTGCCACATATCAATGCCAGTCAGTGCCACCTATCAGTGCCTGTCAGTGCTGCCTATCAGAGCCTGTCAGTGCCGCCTAACAGTTCCAGTCAGTTCCGCCTAACAGTGCCAGTCAGTGCTGCCTATCAGTGCCAGTCAGTGCTGCCTATCAGTGCCATATATGAGTACTGCCTTTCAGTGCCCATCAGTGATGTCTGTCAATGCCCTACCGTGATGCCTGTCAATGCCCATCAGTGCCACTGACCAGTGCCTCCTCATCAGTGCCCATCAGTGCTGTCTCTCAGTGCTGCCTATCAGTGCCCATCACTGAAGCCTCATTAGCGCACATCAGTGAAAGCGAAAATTACTCTTTACAAATTATTATAACAGAAACTAAGAAAAAACTTTTTTTTTCTCCAAATTTTTCAGTTGTCTTTGGTTTTTTTAGCAAAAAATAAAAAACCCCAGTGGTGATTAAATACCACCAAAAGAAAGCTCTATCTGTCTCAAAAAAAATTATAAAAATTTCATATGGGTACAGTGTTGCATGACCGCGCAATTGTCATTCAAAGTGCGACAGTGCTGAAAGCTGAAAACTGGAATGGGCAGGAAGGGGGTGAAAGTGCCCAGTAGAAAAGTGGTTCAAATATCCAGAGACTGTTGTCAACTCTTTTTTTCTACCCGTTTCATTGTGTTTTAAGAGCTGTCAGCACAGGCCTAGTTAAGCACTGTTTTTCATCTGTTTTGTAACTGGGGACATCAGCTGCAGACAAGGAAGGCATCTGCTCCTGATGCATGTTTGATTCAATGTCCTCAGAGTCAGATGACATAAATAATGTTTTCAGGGATGCAGTGCACTCGTGTAATCACTGAAAATCACAAAGTGCTAGAAGCAGGCACCCCTGAATAAATTTGGCCTCTTGGTGGGAAAATCACATGATTTCAGGCTGGGAATGAGAGGAAGGAAGGAAGGTATCAGGGATAGTTCAGTTTTCTTGTTTGGAATCACTTATATTGGAGGCAAGGGGTCTGAGGAGTTAGAAGGTATAATTACACATTTCCTAGTGGTGAGTGGGGCTCTGGAGGGGGAGCACTGAGGGGAGCACCAAATACAAGAATGATTGATAAGATTTGTCACTGAATCACATTGAATCACATTGAATGTCGAAAGTGATTTTTTAACACCGGGACTTTAAATATTACACACATATAAGTGCACTGTATTTATTTTCCATTGAGACTGGTTTATATTGTTAGGATGATGTCTATGTATGTTTAATAATAATTTGCACCATTATAGCACTGTATATGTACATTCACAGTCATACAGATATGCACATATCCCCCTACCCATAGGGATGGGTAGAGTCCCTGGTGAAGAGGGGTGCATATAAGGTACACTATGATTTATATGGTATTAAGTACAGATTGGTTTTATTTCATTTATTTTGTCTCAGTGTGGAATATGATCATGTATTAAAGTGCGACACAGCTAAAATAATTTAGTACCAAAAGAATTTGAAGCGGCAGCGCAGTATTTATATTATACATCTACACTTACACATTTGTGGTACGGCTAGCAGCACCCTGTTGAATCATAAGTCTACTCCCAGTCTACTGCGCAGGTTCTATTTGTATTGATACAGACTACACTTCTGCTTTTTTCCTACCTGCTACATCTGCAACTGGACCCCAGCTTTCTCACTTTCTGGTGGGGCAATCCTGGGGACTGTGACCTTGCACTATCATGTATCTCCACCTTTAATGGTGAATACCGGCTTAGACCTCAGGGGAGCCTGTGTCATCTTCCAGGGTGATCTACTTGCTTATATATCCTGCTGGTTGGTGGGAATCTCTGGACTGCTATAGCTATTGCTCTCTGAGCCTGACTCTGGCCCGTGACACCATAGTTGTATCAAAGGTCATGTTTAGTGATTGGACAGTTCCATTTCCAATGAGATAAAATGTCCTCTATTGTGGGCAGGTCAAAGTCATTCTGAAAGAGCTATGAGTAAGTAGAGAATAAGTTACATGTATGAGATTGAAGAATGCTGCAATGGGCTTTGCTGGGGTAATAGTATTATCACCATTAATCCCTTTTGCTGCCAGGGCCTTTTTTGCACATATGTTTAAATATTCATTACAGGTCTTAAAGCAGACACCCTAGAGAATAAAATAGCGGTAGTTCCAATTTTCTAAAAGACCATCTAAATGTCTCCTCTGGGCTCCACTGAATATATTGCAATACAGATCGCATTGCAGTACATTCCTCCCTGGCTAGCATAGTGTGTTCTCTCTTCTCTCTCTCCCTCCATCCGCCGGCACCCACCATACGCAGCCGCCTGACTGCTGCCACCTGACAGGCAGAAGTCTGACTGTCAGTGTTATACATAATCCCAGCCACTGTAAAACCTGTGCTGTCAGGTTCGTACGATGGATTTATATATCGCCAACAGTTTGCAACATAAAAGTAGATAGTATATTTACAATACAAATTTAGACTAGAGGGTCAGGACAACCCTGTTTGTAAGAGTATATAGAATATATTAAACTTCTGGAAAGAAAAGTTATTTGGCAGAGTGAATATAAATAAATAATAATAAAAAATAAAAATCCACTATTAAATATCACACCATATCACACCATAGAGAAATAAATAGAGCTGCTACCACCTATACATGCAATCACTTATAAAAAAAACAATCAGATAAAAGTGAAGCGCTTCACTTTTATCTGATTGGTTATTTGGCACAGTGACTTGTAACTGTCAAGTGTACATTTAATAGTTGTTATACAAATTAGAAAAATATCTACTAGTGTTATTTTTTAAACTAGTACATTTATCTGAACTCTACAACATATATTTATACAGAGTTGTTGCAAGCTTTAAAAAAACAAACAAACAAACATGTTGTACTTACCTGCTCTATTCAATGGCATTGCCTATCCTCCTCTTCTGGGGTCCCCTGCTGCAAATTCTGGCTCCTCCTGCCTTCGAGTACCCCCCGCCAACAAGCCGCTTGCTAGGGGGGTACTTGAGCGGGCTCTCTCCCAAGCAGCACTCTGCATCTATTTACACACACATAGTGCAGCTTGGCCTCTTCTCCCTTGGCACAGGATTTTATTGACAGCAGCAGGAGCCATTGGCTCCTGCTGCTCTCACTGAATCCAGCAAGGAGGGAGAGAGAGAGCAGTGTCAACTTATAGCGAGACTGTGGCGGGCATTCGGACACTGAGGGGAACTGACTTGGTGTCACTGACATCCCCAGAGACACCAATACAGTGATCAGTGCAATAAAAAGCAATAACACTGTACTAATGGCACTGGACAGGAAGGGTTAACATGTGGGACAATCAAAGGGTTAACTGTGTGCTGTGTGTGTTCTACTGTGGGGCTGTGTGTGTGTGTGTTTCACTGTAAGCACACTGCTTTCCATAGCTGTGCTATGCAGAGCCATACAAAGCAGTGTGCAGGAGCGGACAGAGGAAGGAACCATTTTGTTTACATCCCCCATCAGAGAGGCTCAGCAAGCACCTGGTGCCGCGAGTAATCACTGTCCGGGACCCAGTGATTGACAGCCGCAAATGGTGTGCACCCCCTACCCGGAAATGCAAAATCACATATATCTATATATACACGTGATTTTGCGCACCCATGCCGCCCTGTAGCAATACTTCTGCTATAGGGCGGACAAGAAGCGGTTAAGTAACTCCCACTGTTAACAGTTTGGCCACACCCACTTTTTGTGGTGGTACACATAGCATGACGCAGGTCACTACTTCTCTAAAGTGTCCCTCATTCTTAAGTTCTAAAGTTGAGAAATATGTATTTTCGTGACTAGAGTTGCCGTTTAAAATACTTCTATCAGCACACCCCAGCAACCAGCACTAACTTGTCTTTGACATCATTGATTGAATCCATCATGTCCAGTAGGCTCCTCTGGGTCTGGTTGTTTTTCTTGGTCACATTGTTGACTTGGGCGAGGAGTTTGCTGATGTAGGACAGATAAATAGGCTCCAGGTCTGATTCGGGAGCATCTTCTACTTGCAGCATAGACCAGCGGTCTTCCAGGACCTCGCGTTGTTTTTCCAGATATAGAATCTGTAAAACAAGGGTTGATAGCTTATTTAGAATGTTAGTGTGTATGCCGTTCCTTGGTTTCACAATTATAGATGTTATCCTCCTATGACTTGCTTGTCATCAGTTCCTCATATCACATGTCTGCATCAGATTTGAGCAGCAAAATGTATACATTTATCCCCTTATCTCATATTTTTCAAGTAACTAGCTGTACTCATACTGTAAATAAACATCTGATCACATTCTTGATAAATTTACTAACATGCACTATTTTCAGTGTATCACTAAACATTTATCACCAGTGCTGTCCTTATACAGTCTTCATGTTTTTTTTTCATACAACACTCCTTTTATTGTTGCATTCCTTCAGAAATTATTTAAAAACTGGAGCAAACACTTTTCTTTTATTCTTTTGCATTTTAGGCCTAACTGTTGGGCAGAGTCCCTCCTTAACCCAGCTGATCCCCTGGGGATTCCCGCTGCTCAGAAGGTCAGCCCAAAGAGCATTAGTGTGAAGTAGAGATATCTGATGCACTCAGCAGTTGAGTAGACCAAAAAAAATATCCTCTTACCTCCTATGTAACCACCATGCCAGCTAGCCGAAAAAGCACTTTTCAGCAAAAAACGTACCCAAAGTGACCCCGTCTACCATTTCCTGTTCTGTACAGTGCTAATCTAATAAAACATTAAAATTCTCAATGTGTCAAAATCATAGCAAGAAAGTCTATAAAAAGTCTATAAAAAAAAACACTTCCCCAGAGTGCATAATTAACTAATATTGGTCATGTATGTACAGTTGTGCTCATAAGTTTTGATATCTTGGCAGAAATCGTGAAATTTTGGCATTGTTATTGAAAATATGACTGATCATGCCAAAAAACTCTTTTACTTAAGATTAGTGATCATATGAAGCCATTTATTATCAAATAGTTGTTTGGCTCCTTTTTAAATCATAATAATAACAGAAATCACCCTAATGGCCATGATTAAAAGTTTACATACCCTGGAATGTTTGGCCTTGGTACAGACACACAAGGTTACATACAAAAGGTCAAAATGGCAATTAAAGGTTACTTTCCCACATTTGTGGCTTTTTAAATTGCAATGTGTCTGTGTATTAACAGTTAATGAGTTTGTTAGCTCTCACAAGGATGCACTGAGCAGGCTAGATACTGAGCCATGAGAAGCAGAAAAGAATTGTCAAAAAGACATGCATAACAAGGTAATGGAACTTTAAAAAGATGGAAAAGGATATAAAAAGATATTCAAAGCCTTGAATATGCCAGTCAGAACTGTCCAATCAAGTGGGATATTTGAGAATCTCTTCATACCAAGTCAAGGTCAAGTAAACCAAGAAAAACTGCTGCCACAACTGCCAGAAGAATTTTTTGGGATACAAGGAAAAACCCACAGGTAACCTCCGGAGAAATACAGGCTGCTTTTGAATAAGACAGTGTGGTTGTTTTTAAGTAGCACAATATAACAATACTTGAACAAAAATGGTCAAGTTGCTAGAAAGAAGCCTTTACTGCACCAATGCAACAAAAAAGCCTGATGAGGCATGTCAAGGTGTTTAGGGCATATTGTAACCAGGCTTTTTTGTGGCATTGGTGCAATAAAGGCTTCCTTCTGGCAACTTGATCATGCAGCTCATTTTTGTTCAAGTAAGTATTATATTGTGCTCCTTAAAAACAACCACACCATCTTTTTCCAGAGTATTGCATTTCTCCTGAGGTTACCTGTGGGTTTTCCTTTGTATCCTGGACAATTCTTCTGACGGATGTGACTGTAATCTTGGTCTATCTGACCTTGGGTTGGTATCAAGAGATTCCCACATTTTCCACTTCTTAAAGCAGAGAGCTCCACCCAAAAGGGGAAGTTCCACTTTAAGGCTTCGTCACCCGCACCCTGCTAAGGATTGGCACCTTTGGGGTGTGGGCGGGGGAGCTGGTACTTGGTCTTGACAGGTTCCCGGTCCCACTTCCGCTGCGATTGTAAGCGAAAGTTCTTCTCCCCCTCCCAGTAGTCTTCAGTGGTCCCAGAACATGATGTGACCATTCAGAAAATGCAGCGCTACTCACGCATGCGCAGTGGGCATCCAGCAGTGAAGCCGCACACTGAAGTTGCCGGGAGAGAGGAAACCGACTGCAGTGAGGACACTGCAGGATTGAGGAACAGGTGAGTGTCTGTTTTTTAAAAGTCAGCAGCTAATTTTTGTAGCTGCTAACTTTTATTTTTTTATATTGTGACTGGAGCTCCACTTTAAAAAGTGATTGAACAGTTCTGACTGGCATATTCAAGGCTTTGGATATCTTTTTATATCCTGTTTCATCTTAGTAAAGTTCAATTACCTTGTTACACATGTCTTTTGACAGTTCTTTGCTTCCCCATGGCTCAATATCTAGCCTGCTCAGTGCATTCACATGAGAGCTAACAAACACATTGACTATTTATACTCAGACACTAATTGTAATTTAAAAAGCCACAGATGTAGGAAATAACCTTTAGTGTTGATTTTAACTCCCTTTCTCACAACACCCTGGGTTCCTGAACACACCCAGAGAAGATAAGTTTCTCAGCTTTCCTTGCTCTGCAGTTTAGATAGGCTAGACCTAGCTGTGCAAATGATATGCAGCCAGGTGAGAGACCCCCTACTGTCAGAACCAAGCTGCAGGCAGTCTTATTAGAGCCTAATATCATGCAGCTTCTCACAAAGCCCCTCTCCAGTTGCTACAAGTGCAAATCTAGTTCCTGTGGGGTAACCCCTTTGTCCTTGGACCTGGGATCCTTCACCTGTGCTACCAGAGCTATTCTGAAGTTCATTTTGAGGAACACTGTTTATAAGGGCAATTACAAGTAGTCATTTGTATTCTGTACTGATTGCTATAGAGTTTACAGAGATTTTGCTATGCATGAAGGCAGGCTAAACATGGCTATTTGACAGAGGGGATCACACTGCGTGTTATTGCAAACAAAGTAGCTTTAATTGCTGGATAGGAGGCAGTAGAAAATACTATTTACAAAAGTGCAGATAAATGGTTTTCTTATAGGCTCATAAGGCACAGGTACACAGGATATTCACAGAAGATATAGATTGCAGCTTCAAGTCCGGACACTTTTACCCACTTCCTTTCCAGGCCAATTTTCAGCCTTCAATGCTGTCACACTTTGAATGACAATTCTGTGGTCATGCACACTGTGCCCATATGAATTTTTTAGCATTTTTTTGAGACAGATAAAACTTTATTTTAGTGTTATTTATTTACCACTGGGATTTTTATTTTTTTGCTATATAAATAAAAAAGTCCAAAAATGTTGAAACCTAATTTTTAAAAAAAAAAAAATTTGCAAATAAATAATCTTTGTTCATATATTTTGGCCAAAATGTATTAAGTTATCTTTTTAGTAAAATGAAATAACCCACATTAGTTTATAACTAAAAATTATAATTTTTCAAACATTTGTTTTACATTTTTTTTATATATATATTATTATTTATGTTTTGTTTTTGTTTTTTTTTTTAAATACTGTCACCCTAGCAGTACAGTGTCACCATAGTGACACTGTACTACTTGTGGGGGGTGATGAAGATTTTTTTTTTCTTTTTACACTGATTGCTTTTACACCCATAAAGGCTGTAAAAGCAATCATTTCTATTTCTCTCTGGCTGCATTCTTGCAGCCACTGAGAAATACTGAGAGAGCTGTGATTGGTCACAGCTTGTCACATGGTACAAGGCTGTTGTGAATAGCCTTGTACCATGTGATCTCTGTGATTATTCACAGATTTCACATGTAGTAAGCAATTATGTCAAAAGTGACATCTTGCTTACTGCTATTCATGTGATCACTGATTGGCCAATCACTAATTATATGATTGGGACCTCACACAGAGGTCCCGGACACAGCGGGCACCAGATCACAGTGACGCACGCTCCCAGTGAGCGCACACAGGCTGGAATGGCATGCACTGTTTATGAAAGGCAACCCACCCCTGCACTGCTCCCGTCCGACCGTTTATATACATGGGCCAGACAGGAAGTGGTTAAGCCTTCTGGCACTACAATATCCTCACTACAAGTACAGGTGTGTTATATACAGCACATCAGAGGGTGGTGTCCATAAGTGACACAAATGCAGCGCTGCAAATGTAAAGCGCTGAGCAAACTGTTGGCGCTATATAAATCCTGTATAATAATAATAATGCAGCAATCTTAGTATAGCAGGGAGATATTACCGACTCTGACAGTCTTTCTTCTCAAAAGGTAGCAACAGTGATGATAGACAGGACTCCAGTGGATCCCTGTTCTGCCCCTAATGCAGGCCATAGACGGTTCGTTTATCGGACACATTTTTGGCCGAAAAACAACACATCGGTCGTACTGTTGCCACCAATGATTCTGAAAATCATCCGTTTTTCATAAATTTTCCAGCATGACCGATAAAAGAAATGAGGAGGAACTGCAAAAATCGGCCGATGACATTGCCCCACTAACGGTGCGAATATCGGCCGATTATTCTTTCGGAAGAAAATTCGGCCGATAAACGAACCGTCTATGGCCTGCATAAGGCTGGAACACTCTCCCTAAGTAAAGCCTAGCTTGCCCTAGCAAGGCTGGGTATCTGTCCCTTTCTATATACACACACAAGAGCTCCTCCAAATGGTGGCTGGGCTCCGTTTATATAGGAGAGCCAACACAGAATGGCCGCTCAAATCTCAAGAGAGTTTGTGCCCAATCAGAGCACAAGGCTTCCCCAAAATGACAGAGGTCAGCTAATCCTACAGGTTACCATAGAACAGCAAGAACCACAAACAACTATATGCAAAACACAACATTCCTGCATGAAAAAGTGAGTATGATACAATTACTGTCCCACGTCTCCTCACAGCCAGCGAGCTTATTGCTGACACGGTTACCTGTGTGTGAGGAGATTGCCTACACAGGGGCGGACTGACAACTCATGGGGCCCCTGGGCAATAGGGGATCATGGGGCCCCTGTGTCCTTGCCCAAGCTCAAGAAAGCCTATGAAAAAGGTACCAGGGGCATCTCATGGGGCCCCCTATTGACCCCGGGCCCTCGGGCAGTGCCAGAGTTTCCAAATGGTCAGTCCGCCCCTGTGCCTACATTTACATGTTACCCTGAGTGAGTCACATAAACATTACTGTATAGAGTCCATGTTTGTGCAGCTTTCATTACCTTTCTTGAGTTATTCTGCAGCGTATGCCTGCTTTGCCTTCCTAAACTTGTTTTGCATTATTGCTTCTAACTTTGTACCTGTTTAGTAAACTGAAAAGTACAGTTGATTTTTCATCCAGTTACCCATTCTGGAACAGCAGGATTATCAGGTATTCTTTTAATAAAAATTGAAGATTTAAAAGGATTAAAAACAACTTTTGAAATGACATTAGCATGCTTAAGATAATATGAGACTTTATTGATCTTCATTAACTATTATATAAAAGTTGAGCTTGGACCCACCCTTTCCCTTAAAAAAAATATGAATAAAGGAACAGGAGTGATGATGTGAAGCATCTCGCAGTACCTGCGGGTATCTGTGTTAGACTTCAAACCAAGTCCAGTGATCCTCTGGAGCCCCTTGGATATTGTGCCCATGCTTGTCAAGTTGTCAGATGTCAGAGTCTCAGTAAGAAGTCAAGACATTTGACAGTTAAAAGGCAGAAAAATATTTTTTAATCTTTTAAAATCTACAGCTGTACATTTCAGGAGTGGATTGGTTAGAACACCTCTGAGGTTTTTATTGCTGTCGGTGTCCCTGTGGGGAAGATTCACCCTCGTGTCCTGGTGACTGTTATCCCCGAAAGTAAAGTGAAAGAAAATCCAAAATTCTGAGTGCTCTTCAGAACAAGAGTTTGAGTTGGAAACTTGAGTTCTGGTGACCCTGGTGACCACCTGAGATTTCCATTCATTTGAAGGAATTTCCACTCACTTCCTAACTAAGGGACAGGAAGTAGATGGAAATCTTCCCAATCATACTCAGATGGCAAAATAACTCACAGGGGCTATAACCCTCCCTTACTATATCCAAAATGAAAAAAAAAGTTTTGCTTTCAATTCTAGTTTAGTTGGCTATACCAAGGCTCAATCCACAGCCATGATCGTCATTAACAGGAAGCAGGTACAAAGAAATGACATGCATCGGCCACTGAAGTGCATGTATGTAAACAGGAAGTGGCTAAAAGAAACTAAAGGAGCTCAGCAGTGCTAAAATGTAAAGCAAAAATATAAACCGGTATTTACTAAAAAGTATATGGCAATGATACACATTGCGTTAGCAAAGTATATGGTATCCAGATTTGACTAAAGTAGAATTCAAGAGTAACTGCTTTTGTTGAGAAAAAACATTCCCAGATCTATCTATGGTCAATGTACATTACAGGGAGTTTAACCTCCCTAGCGGTATGATTATTTCAGATTTTTGGTGCTGAAAGCGGTACCATTATTTTGCATGGAAATAAGTAGTTTTTTTATTGTAGGCTGTAATTTTTAGGAATAACTCACTGAAATCTGTCCGAACAAGAGTCTATTAAACATCCTGGGTATGATAAAATTTGAAACACGAAATCATAATTTAATAAATAATCATAAAAAATAATAATAATCCATTTAATTCAATAATATAATCAAACCAAAAACACTGAAATTTGAAATATAGCGCCAAGTTCGCAGATTGCTGAGCAAAGTCGCAAAACCGTTTTCAGTGTCTGATGACGAATTTCCCCACGAATCATTATCACTCAATTCTGCAAGTGGTTCTAATTTACTATTGCTGTTCTCTAGCTGGTCTAAACCCGCTTTTGACCTAAAGGGACACTTTTTGGACGCCATGGACATTTCTCAGTTTCCAGGCAGAAAGAACAGACAAAATGCAGGCAGGGCACAGGACAAAGCACTAGGGACAAAATGTATGTGAAATGGGTTGAAACAGCAATGTTGTACTATGAAAAATGTGTTTTGAAAAAAATGACATTTTTTTACATTTTAAAATTTCCCGCCGCTGCTCGTATGTCCCGACGTCACACAGAAGTCGGATGCTGGCATCGGCCGGAGGAGATGGCCGAGGATTTTTTTTTTTTTTTTTTTTTTTTAAGTCCGCAAACGTGCAAACTACAACGAAAAACCCGTAAGTGATCACAAAAAAAGTGCAAGTGCGAACACCACACGAAAAAGTGCAATTAGGGGTGTGCTTGTCCTACCCCCGAAGGGGTTGAACCATTACCCTGATCCCCCGGGGCACGAAGCTCCTGACAGGGACAAGGTTCCCATTTGGTCCTCCTGGCCAAAAGGCCTGGTGGATCACTGTTCCTTATGCCCAGCCGAAGCCGGACATCCAGTACTAGGTCAGGGGGTTCTCCCGGAGAGAAAACCCCCTAGGGATCAGGGGAGGAAGGAACCAAAAGGCCACACATCCTCCCCCTAGACTTCAGATGGCCGGGGATGCTGCAGGGGATACATCGCGGGAGCGAAGGACAAGGTAAGTGCTGCAGGGACTCCCTATGCAGTGCCGCATGGTAAGCCCGAGTGTAGCTCGGGGTTACCGCTTTTGGTACTGACATTTTACCCCGAGCTACACTCGGGATTACCGTTAGGGAGGTTAACGAACTTTGTTGCAGATCCCTACCTTTTTGTTATTCCAATGAAAATGCTGTTTTTTTGTCTGTGTATATGTGCAAAATGAAGGTGAAGGGGGGGGGGGATTTTGTATTATTCTCAATCAGCTTCTGCACCTGCAGGGCTCTAATGAGGAAAGTGGCAAGGCCTGCATCCCTTAGATGTGATTTCCCTTTGGGAGTATCTCATCAAAATTTAAGTTTTTGTTGCAGGGGATGCCCAAAATCTGACTTATGTCTTAGGCTAGGTTTACATCTGTGTGGGTGTTGCCGCTACGGATCCACATGCAAATTCATGCAGCCGCATCACCCGCACAGAGGAATGCGGACCCGCAGGCGGGTGCCATTAGTTCTAATGGCACACCACCCTCACTGGAAAACACAACCATACTGGGAACTGAGGTTCCTGTTCGGGCTGTGTTTTCAGAAGAAGTGCAGGGACTTCTTCTCTGTGTGTCATGGGGCACGGAAGTCCATTCAAATTATTGGGCTCTCGTGCCCGCACGGCCGCATATATGTGAACCAGGGCTAAGTGTAGACTTCTGGGAAACTCAGTGAGCCAATCATACAAGTAGGAAGTGACATTTCTGAGAGGCGTCTATACACCATCTGCATACAGAACGCCTCCAGGTAGCCATATTGCATTTTACAAAAATGTAGAAAGCTGCAGATTGAAAAAGAAAGGACATTTATAATAACATTCAATTACAATATGACTTGTCTGCAATATTTTGTTTGCTATTTTTTTCTACAAAAGTGGAGTTACTCTTTGAAGGCATGATTTTTAAAAACAATTTTGGATAGAACAAGGGAAGGTTATAACTCATTGTCCTTTTTTTCCTCCCACTTGCAAAAATTTTCATCACTTCCTGTTCCAAAGCCAAAACTAGAGGAGGGGGGGAGAGGAAATCCCTCTCAAGTGAGGGAATCCGTGGTTGTCACCAGGGCCACCAGGGCTAGGGTTTCCATTAGAAGATTTCCCTTCTATTTATGAGCTATTTTTTTTTCCACAAAAGTGGAGTTACTCTTTAAAGGCATGATTTAAAAAACATTTTTGGATAGAACAAGGGAAGGTTATAATTCATTGTCCTTTTTTTCCTCCCATTTGCAAAATTGTTCATCACTTTCTGTTCCAAAGCCAAAACTAGAGGAGGGGGGAGAGGAAATCCCTCCCAAGTGAGGCAATCCATGGTTGTCACCAGGGCCAGCAGAGCTAGGGTCTGCCTTAGAAGATTTCCCTTCTATTTATGAGCAATTATTTCCACAAAAGTAAAGTTTACCCTGTAAAGGCATGATTTAAAAAAAAAAACAATTTGGATACAACAAGGGAAGGTTATAACTCATTGTCCTTTTTTATTCTCCCATTTGCAAAATTTTTCATCACTTCCTGTTCCAAAGCCAAAACTAGAGGAGGGGGGAGAGGAAATCCCTCCCAAGTGAGGGAATCTGTGGTTGTCACCAGGGCCACCAGAGCTAGGGTCTCCATTAGAAGATTTCCCTTCTATTTCTGAGCTGGTGACAGTTCAAAATTTGGCATTTTCTTTCACTCTCAATGAATGGTAAACAGGAAAAATAGGGTGAATTTCCCTAATGGTGGCACAGACAGCCATAAAAACCCGACAGAGGTTCTAATTCCTCTCCACTGTATCCAGTTTGGCTTTAGTTATATTATTTAGGCTTTAACTTAGGCAACTTGTCATCTATTGTCATTGTCACATGTTCTGTCCCACTTTGTAATGTACAGCGCTGAGCGAACTATTGGCGCTTTATAAATACTGTATAATAATAATAATAATCTAGGAAAATGACTGATGACAATATGACAGTTTAGCACGTAAGGCCAATCAAATATACACTGAACACACAAATAGAACATGCAGTGTACTACAGCATCACATTTGCTTCCTGAATTTCAGTCTTGTATTACTTCAGTATAGAAAAATGTAGAGCGTTGTCACCATCCGCCCTTCCCTCTGCACTCACCTTGTCTCTGAAAGACATCAGTGCAGCACTTAGCTTGTCCTCTGCTTCTTCCTGATGGCTGACCGTAGTCTGGAAATCAGATGACACCGTGAGCTTGGATTTAAAAACCTCTTCAAATGACTGAGACGAATAGGAGCCATTAGCAGTAGTGGCACAGGAGTCTGTTGTGTAACTTTCAGATAGTGCAGGGCTTGGAGACGGGTGATTCTCCCCATTTTGAGATTGCCAGGGGGGCACGTCATAGTTGAAGGCGTTAGAGAAAGTAGCCATTGAAATTAGTTAGTAAGCTTGCTGTGAGCTCCAGTAACAAAATCTTTTTTTTTTTTGTGAAGAGCAGCGTCTTCCAGAGCGGGAGAACACTGTTTGGGTGTGCCTGACACAGGGAGAGGCTGCAATTAGCAGCCGACTGAAAAATACAGTGGGGTGTCAGCCATTGGGTATGCTAATATGGCACATACAAAAATCCCTCACAAGTGGTGTATTAATTTATACATGTCCACTTTGAGTGATATGCTTTTTAAGTTTTGGAGCAATGCAACAGAAACACAAGGAATCATTACTATAAGCACTCCCAAGGACAGACATAAACACAGAAAGCATTTGTGCATGCAAAGACAAGTAGGGGAGGTATTTCACAAGCACTATAAAAAAATCTCATCTATACAGGAACTAAATCACACAATTTAAAGTGAATCCATCATCAAAAAAAAATGCATGGGTGTTGTTTTATTCAGAGGAGTGTTTCACACAATTTTTTTTTAATAGTATAGAAAAAGGGTACACAGGTCTACAGACAATGATCAGAAATCAGCAATAATATTAATTTGTCTAGGGTTGCCTTAAAGAGCACCAGTACCCAGACTATGGACATTAAACTATTTACAGATTCTTAACAAGCAATAAATAAGCTTGACAAGCTACCACTGACCTCTCTAGCTGTTGTACTGTGAAGTTATTTCTTCTCAAGGATCCTCAAAGATAACAACTAAGATACTAGAGTCTGGGTTTAACTAATTACATTTACTGAGGCAGCATGGGCAGGCTGGATTACGTACATGTATGTCATCCAGCCTGTTCTGGGTTAGGGGCATGCATTCTGCAGCTCCAGTGAGCACTGTGTCCATCGGATACAGAGGATCAAAATCACCAGTAACCGGGTATCAGGTATCATGAGATCGCTATGATTGGTCATAGTGGTAACATGATAACAATGTAAACAAACTGTCATGAATGGATTTCCATTCATGAACAGCTTGCTTACAGTTGTGATCTGTGATTTGCCCTCAGCAATCACATGGTACCTGGCTACCTGTTCCACATGATTAGCTGTAGCCAATCACAGATCACTGTAGCCAATTACAGTGATAAAAAAAAAATCCATGATCATCCCCCAGAGTAGTACAGTGTCACTATGGTGACAGTGAACTACTTGGATGAAAGTATGTAAAAAAAAAAGTATTTAGAAAAAAAGTAAATTTTTTAAACAATTAAATAAAAAAATATTTCTCATAGATTGTAAGTTCTAACGAGCAGGGCCCTCTGATTCCTTCTGTATTGTAACTCTGTCTGCCCTCATGCTGTAAAGCGTTGAGTAAACTGTTGGCGCTATATAAAACCTGTATGTGATAATTGTGCGTAGAGATACAGACACTGACAATCATATTTGTATCATTCCCTGCAAATATTCAAACTCCCTCCAGTCCCTTTCCTCTTTGAATGGAATGTGGTCTGTGTGTGTGTGCACTGAGTTCACAAGTGCATAAGGCACACCTGGATACGCTTCATTTTGTAACCCAATTAAGCCTGGTGCCAGAGGGTCTGACAAACACTTTCATCTCCCCGGTCAAACTATAACTCAGTCGTTCACTTGACATGAAACATGGAATGGTAAGATATGCCATATTTGGTGTCTGGACATTCAGAATATGATTCTGCATATTAATCTACCAGTGGCTAGGGATGCTACATGTACATATTGAAGGTTATTGACCTTGGTATAAACTGGTGAGGGATTTGGTCATAGCCTGTGTCCCCCGCCTAACACCCTTCCCCAAATGAGGCGATTGACCCTTGGCTTCAGTAGACACCCCCTGCTGGCACATTAGAAAAAAGGCTGTCATGCCTGGAGAAAGAAGAAGAGATTCTCCCTTTTAAAACCAGCAACCATCTTTGGGAGAAAAGACAACCTTTTGTTAGGAAACTTGGACTCTGCTTAAACCAAGAACTTCTGCAAGTATCCTACCTTCTGAAACGTCTTTCTTTTATCTCTGTTTTGTTATTGCTCTCTCTATTTATATATATATATATATATATATATATATATATATGTTACATCTTTTCTTTAAATATTTTAATTGCACCATTTCGCCCTTTTTAGTAATAAATCCTATTTTCTGAAAAGTGTTGAACCTGTCTCTAACTCTTTTATGCAAACTAAAAGAATCCCTGTCTCTGAAGAGTGCTACCGTGTGTTTTAACCCTCTGCATACATCTGTCTGCGGTGACAGTGTGTATACAGACGCTTATTCAAATATCATAGTGTTACTGCTAAGATTTGTGAGTTTCCTCCTTTGTAAAAAGGTGGTAGTGGCAGTGTGAAGGGTTAATTGCGTAATTAACCTGACTCAGTAACAATTGCTCTCAGGCTGCTGGCACATAGATTGTGGTCCAACAAGCTGGAAAATCTTTGTGCAGGGTGCAGCTGAGAGTGGCATTGTTATGCAAGTGGCAGCGCGGTCTTAGATTGGCTGGTCCTTCGGTCACAAGTTGGTGAGACGGGCTGGGGTCTGATTATTATGTATAATAATAACATAATAATTTCCATTTTTTTTAACGTGTTGTCACCAGTCAGTAACCCTGATCACTGCTACACCAGTCATATGATGATGTTCTACTGCACTGGTGACAGTATGTAAAAAAAAATTGTGAAAAAAATATTTTATTTCATTTCTTCATTTTCCCCAAAATGGTGACAAAAATGACCATGCCTCTTACTAAATACCTGGGACTGTCTACTTTCCAAAAAGGTGTCATTTGAGTGGGGGGTATTTGTACTGTCCTGGCATTTTATAGCCTCATGAAATGAGATCGGCCGCCAGTACATCAGAATTGGTCAGCTTTCAAATGTATATACCATAGACTCTATAACTTTCACACAGACTAAATAATATACACCGGTTTGGGTTATTTTTACCAAAAAAAGTAGCAGACTACATTTTGGCATAAATTTACGAAGAAAGATTATTTATTTGCAACAATTTTTAACAGTAACTAGGAAAAACAAGTTTTTATCTCAAAATTTTCATTTTTTGTTACTTTATATAGCAAAAAATTAAAATCCCAGGGGTGATTAAATACCACCAAAAGAAAGCTCTGTTTGTGTGAAAAAAAAGATATAAATTTAATTTGGGTACAGTGTTGTATGACTGAGCAATTATCAGTTAAAGTAGCGCAGTGCTGAATAGCAAAAAAAAATGCCCTGGTCATGAAGGGGGTAAAACCTTCTGGAGGGCAAGTGATTAATAGTTTTCTAAGGCTTCAGGTACATTAGCAGCTCCTATACTTGAGTTTAGGAGCTTTGGGTGTTTTTTTGCCAAAGCTCCTGAACTGAACTCTATAAAAGCCAATGTATCCATGGGGTTTTAGCAGAGATTAGCAGCTGCTCCGTTTAGGTTAAACCTTCCTCTCCTGAATGCAGAAGAATCAAATTCAGTATAGGAATTTGACCACCGGCCACGGGAAAATGCAGCAAAAATGTGGTACCACTGTTTTTGCTGCATTTTGCGTTTTCCTGTGGCCGCAGTCGCTGTAGGCTAGTGTATATGAAGCCTTACAGCTTAGGAACACCTGCTGATTGTTTCTATTAGTAGGCCAGCAGCCTGACAAGATTCTGGTGCAACAGAAAGGAACAGTGAAAGAGCTAAAATTTCAGTCTCAGTGTTGCGAACATGTATTTCTTCACAATGCTTATATATACGGAAATGAATGAAAGTATGTTTTAAGCTGCTAATAATTCAAAAATCAGTTCCTCCCCTCAAACTAGGGTGCTTGAAGTAAACCTGGACTCCTTCTGTTCTTTCAACTCTACATTCAACTACTCTTGTTTCCTTTACTTACAGTTGCAAGAAAAAGTATGTGAACCCCTTGGGATTACGTGGAGTTTTGCATGAATTGGGCATAAAATGTGCTCTGAACATCATCTAAGTAACATTTCCAAAATGTGCATCTTCATAACAAAAAAAACCTCATCAAAATACTAATTACTACCTTGTTATCTCTCACCTTGCTTATCACAACTCCCACCTCATAGGCCTACCTCTGAAGATGAACATGAATGCTGATGCAAGACTCTTACCAACCACTCAGTATCCACCATTCCACTCTGTCAATCCCTCCACAGGCTTCTGATCGCTCAACGAATACAATTCAAAATATGAACAATATACAAAGTCATTCATACTTCTGCCCTGAGGTGCATCACCAACCTCATCTCAAAATATCACCCCCCCCAAATCCTCCTGCCTGCCCTGTAATTCATCACCTCCTCCCATGCTCAATGCTCACCTCCCGAGCCTTTCTCATCCTCCAGTTACTCTCTACCCCAGTCTGTACGGCTATCTCCTTCTGTCTGTCTTTAGGCAATCCATGTAAACTCATCTCTTCAGGGAAGCCTATCCTAACTCCACCTAGCAATTGAACTTTTTTATTTCTTCATCAACTCAACCCAACAGTTATTACATTTTGTATGACTTGTCCCCCAACCCCTTTAGATTTTGAGACCTCCTAACCCTATTGTCTTGAATTGTATTGTAACGTTTCTGTCTCCCTTTATTTTGCAGTGTTGAACAAACTGTTGGAGCTATATATACTAAGTACTGTATGATAATAATAATTATAATAATAGCACTGCTTGTTCAGAATATATAAATACTTTAGTGTGAATGATCAGGGTATAGATTCACTTTACAATAGTATTGAGCCCAAGGCAAAGTTAGCATTATTAGACTCTCATTACATGTGGCCATAGCTAAAATGAGTAA